GTAACATCTACCTCCGAAGGTTGCGAGACTTAAAAATTGGCAACAGATATTAGCTCAGCTGACAATCTTTATTTATTTATTTTTCTGCTTTTTCTCCCCAAATCCTCCCAGTACATAGTTGTATATTTTAGTTGTGGGCCCTTCTAGTTGTGGCATGTGGGATGCTGCCTCAGCGTGGCCTAATGAGTGGTGCCATGTCCGCACCCAGGATGTGAACTGGCAAAACCCTAGGCAGCGAAGCAGACACGTGAACTTAACCCCCAGGCCACCGGGCCGGCCTCCGGGTTGTGAGATTTAAAGGAGCTATTGTACAGAGCATGCTTAGCTCAGTGCCTGGCCTGAGGCTGGAGGTTAATAACAGTAGCCACCCTAACACGGGGAGGAGGCAGTAGGACACAGTGCTTCAGAGCCACTGGCTAGACCGAGGTTCCAATTCCAAGGCTGCACTCACCGCCTTGGACCAGCTGTTTCATGTCTATGAGACAGTTCCCTCGTCTATCAAAACGCCAATCCTATAGTGTTTTTGTAAGAATTAAATTAGATATCATTTGGGGTAAAATTTAGCAACATCTCTCTAGATTACAAATGCACCTTCCCGTTTACCCAGCAGTCCATTTCTAGGGATGTATCCCACAGATCCATTGCCGTACATGCAAGCTGCCATCACCACAAGGATAGGTGTTGCACCCTAATTTGTAACAGCAAAAAGGTTGGGTTTGGGGGGTGGTTAAACAAATAATGGTACATCTATCCAATGAAATATTATGCCACTATTTTAAAAATATAGCACTTAAAATATATGTTTGCTATGGAAAGATCTGCAGCATGCACTGTGCAGGAGAACCAGCAGTGCAGAACATTGTGGAGAGTGTGCTGTTTGTATAGAAGGAAGTATTCAATAAGTTGACGTGTGTAAAGCAGTGAACACAGTACCACATATACAGTGTAAGAGCCTGAATATACAAATGGACAATGGCCAGATCACATATTAAAACAGAACTCTGACCCACAGTCTGCAGCAACCAGCCCAGGAAACCAACCCATTATCTACAGACTAGCCCAGGAAGCCAGCCTGCTATCTCCAAATCAGACTTGGAGGAAGTCAGACCACTGTGTCCAGCAACCAGCCCAGGAAGCCAAACAATAACCCCTGCAGCAATCAGCCCCAAATGGCCAGGGATTAATTAATAACTGACAGCTTCCCTAATTTTTGTCCCGCTTCTAACATAGGACCAGCCAGTGACAGCCAAATGTGCACCCCTAACCCATCACATAGGACGTCCACCTCTAGTTAGCCCACCTACAGCTTCCCCGTGCCAACAGCCTCCACTCAGGGGGCATCTAGACCCTTCCCTTCTCTCCACTATAAAGCTTTACAGTCCTCTGCCTGCCTGGATCTCTGCCAAACTGCAAATGATGGGGGCCGACTCCCTTGCTGTAGCAAACTCTGAGAAAATAGCCTTTGCTTGTTCTCATTTGAATCGTCTTTATTTCCACAGGTTAGTGCTTAATAACTAGCGACTCTTCTTGTTGTTGCCAGTACCAATGCAAGAGAATTCAGATGTTTTTCCTGTTTCTCTTTAGACAGTGGATGGACTTTCAGCCAGCAGATGTCTTGTGGTGTTTGGGTGACACTCTTGGTGAAACTTTGTCTCTGAGCAATGTCTGGGGAACTTGGCTTTAAGGAACTGTGTATTTCTGTATCACATGGCAATCTTCTGCCCTGAGTCTCTTCTAAACGTTAGACCAGTTCCCTGTGAGGGCCGGGGCAAAGGCCAGAAAGGAAACATTAGCAATGGCCCAGCGACTCATGCCCAACATGAGGTGAATCAAGAATTAAATTTGAAATGTGATCCTGACCCGAAGATGTTCTCCCTCCTTCTGAGAACAGTGTCCTCTCACTTCTCTAGGCTCTTTGGAATCAGGAGGAGCTGGCTGCTTCAGCTGAATCGCTGAAAATGAAACTTTTAACAGACAATAATGATAATGAAGATGATAATATTAATATCCACTATCTTCTATTCACCAGGTACTGGCTCCTAACATGCATTATTTCATTGATCTCCCCAACAGCACTGTGAGGTAGAAACTGGGGAAACTGAGGCTCAGAGAGGTTAACTAACTAGCCCAAGGAATCAGAGCTGGAACCAGAAATAAAACTGGGCCTATTGGATTCCATCACACAATCTCTAAACTGCTGTGTTAATCTCTAAACTACCTTCACAAATCAAAATTTTCCTGACAACATCCAGGATTATTATTCAAAACAATAAATCTAAGCAAAGGGCTTCAGGGATCCAGAAGTAAAGGTCAAGCTGTGTATCCATTCAGTTACTGGGTGATTAACATGGTAGCTCCTAGATCCAGATAGGAACAGCTAAATCCTCTTCCAAGGCTCATTAAGATAAAGGACTTGCTCCAGCTGAGTCTTGAAGCTAGTGATCCTCTCCCCTGGACATTCCCCAACGGTCTCAATGTCTTTCTCATTTTCAAACACAGATTTTGTTTTTCCTTTCTTGGTGGCGCAGGCCCTGTCCGGCTTTCTCACCATCATCGCCCTACTGAGAAACCCAGGGACATACCAGGAACTGCTTCCACACAAGTGTTTTGCCAGGTAAGAGAGGAGCTTCTCAGAGAGTCCACTTCCACTCATGGGGCCACAAATGAGACTAGGAACACTCGATTTATTGAAATAATCCAATTCTACCCTTCATTAAAGCATCTGTCTTCTTGCAATTTATGACAATAACTCCACTAGGTTGTGGGATTTTTTTTTTGCCTGTGACACTTCTGAATCCATATCTTCTGGCTCCAAAGGAGTTAGGAATATAAAACCTAATTGTAGTCAAAAGGTTGGATGTGTTTAATTAATTTGTAATCATAACTCCCTTTAAAAATATAAACATTAAAGAAAAATATATTACATGTAAAAAAAGGTAAACATTAAAGAAAAAGACCACCTCCCCTACTGGATATAGATCCTTCTAGACCTTTTAAAAATAAATGTATATCTAAACCTATATCTATCTATCCCCGTAGAAATACATTCTAATATTGGGGGGTGGATTACGTAGAAGGTATCATTCTGTATGTCATGGTGAAGCTTGCATTTTTCACTTCACACTGTACCTTAGAGCTTTATTCATGACAGTATGTGATTGTACATCTTATTCTTTTAAATTATTGCATAATGTCCCTTAGTATGGAACTATCAAAGTGCCTATCAAAAGATACTTGGATTTTTTCCAAGCTGCTAAAAAGAGCATCTTTGCATATACCCTGGAATTCTTTAGGATACCTGCAAAGTGGAATTGTTTATCATCATCAATGAAGATTAGTGAGAAATCACAGGCCCAAAGCATTGTATCAGGCCTCAGAGTTTGCTAAATAATCACTTCACTCTAAATTTCACTGTAGCTATGTGGACAAGGACACATATTCTACAGAAGGAAGCGTTTGTGGTAGGAAATGATATTAGCATATTACATTATAATTACGTGAAGAAAGCACATGACCTAATTCATTGGCATTTTATGGAGCAGCAAAAAATGTGTTATGTTAAATATGGCATATCTTCATTCACCAACATGCTATCATCTCATGAAATGTCTGGATTATTTCTTACACTCTTAAAAGAAAAGCATTTAAAAATTTCAAAATAGTCAACTCTCACTTGTGCCCTGAAATTAATGGTAATACAAAGGCAAAGACATAATGATGATTTTGGAATTAATTTAGAAACAGTTCTCCAACTTTGATCTTTCTTACTCTCAGGAACTGAATGGGTAGTCAGATATTGTCTAACACAGATGAGCTACCAGGTAACCACTAATTGACACTCTCATGTTCAAAATACACAGGGTCACTCTGCCTCTATCTGAAACCACAAAGAGTTTTGTTCCAGTCTTCTTCCCACATTTGATTCTTCCACCGTCACCAAAATCAAATACTCATAAAATGAATTATGGGTTTATAAAAGGTGTTCACTACTATCCTATCTATGCCTGGGGCCCTGTGGAAACTTCTCATAATATCCAGAGATTTTGAATCCAGTTTGTAAAATAAGCAGCTTTCTTTTTATCCTCAGAGTTCAGAAAAGTACATTCTGCTTTATATTACCATTTCTGACACATCCTTCACACAGCTCAGGCTTTGGAGAAGTAAAGGAAACTCAGAAGGGTTTCTTCAGAAGGCTGGCTTCCTTCCATCAGTTAGGACTATCATTTGATTGACTCACGTTTAACACTAATTCCTCTTCTCGAGAAGAGTAAGTGTCTTCTGGGAAGTCTATCCAAACGGGATGTCTGAATAGATTATCTATTAGAATGGTAATAAGAACATCAACTACTACTTAATGAGTGCCTTGTATATTTGACAATATCTGCATCATTTCCCCAAGATTCTTCCTTACAACAGACCTACTACTGGTAGAAATATTCACTAAGTGTAAGAACAGCTTTTGATCGCTTTTGCTATGGATTCAAGAGTTTGAAGCATTGTGTGGCTGCAGGAAGATTCATCAGCCCTGAGGAGATGGAGGACTGGAAACATCACTAAGTAGGACATCTCTGAAGGCTATGGGCAGGCCAAAACTGTAGGGTGATGCTGATTTGCCATTCAGCCAGATGACCAAACTTGCCCATCCACTACATAAACGCACCATCAAAGCACAAGGCACACACTAGACATGCAACTAGCTGGATCTTAAACATGGGAAGAGAAACTGACTTAGACTAAAGGGATCCCTCTTCCATCATAAGACAAAGGATTCTGGGGTACAGACAAATGTAAGCTTGTAGATTCCATAGTAGGAAGTTCAGCTAGTTTCCACCTGATGAATCCTATTTTCTCTGTGAAATAGGACTCAGTATCCCCCGATGAGATAGGGAAAAAATGTGCTGTAGAAGTCTGAGTGGACAATGTTTAAAATTATCATTGCTGCAAATGGAAGAGAGAGCAGATGCCAGAAATGCAGGAGAAATGGGTGATAAGGACACATTTGAGGTTGGTGATCATCCATCTTCAAAGTCACTCTCTATGTGGTTGTGTGATTTCTGCCAACTCACTCTAAAATGTTGGAGAAATATTCTCTAATATTTGAGAAAATCACCCTTAAATATTGCAGAAAATCACAAGTACAAGTGGAGAGTAGGAATGACCCAGGATTAAGGGTTTTCCAAGAAGGCACAATAAAAGGGCAGTGGGCAAGGGATCTTGGGAATTTGGCAAGAAAATGGTTAAAGTAAAGGACTAAGAATACAAGCTGATTAGGCAAGGAAGAGAATTTAAGAAAAAGGCAGATCAATGGTGAGAAGACAAGGTACTGAAAGCGTTAGTAGAGCTGGAGGGACTGAAGGTAATTGTTGTAATCTGCCTGGGCTGCCATAACAGTACCAAAGATTGAATGGCTTACACAAGTGATATTTATTTCTCGCAATTCTAGAGGAGGCAAGTCTAAGATCAGGGTGCCAGCATAGTTGGGTTCTGGTGAGAGCTCTCTCCCTGGCTTGCAGACATCTGCTTTCTGTGTCCTCACATGGTGGAGAGAAAGAGAGACCAAGTTCTCTAGTGTCTCCTCTTATACCAATACTAATACCATCGTGAGGGCCCCACCCTAATGACCTCATCTAAACCTAATTACCTCCAAAAGTTTCCACCTCCAAATACCACCATATTTGGGGTTAGGGCTCCAATATACAAGTTTTAGGGAGACCAATTAAGTCCATAGCAGTAGTAATCAAAACATGAGATGCGTGGACTTAAGATTTCAGAGGTGAAACATTTACAGGTGATGGCAAAGTCAAAGGCATTGCCAAGGGGGTTAAAGTGTCATGAAACTCCCTGATGGTAAAAGTCAAGGAAGGAAGAGACTAGAGTGTAGGATTAGTCATCCATATAGATGTAGGAGTCACTCAGCATAATGGTGGGACATGGAGTCAAAGGAAAAATCATGAACTTTATGCTAAAGGCTTTAATGGACAAGGAATGACTGGGAGGTTGGCAAATTACAACAACCAGGAGTGTCAGAGGGTGGTTAAGGTAAATGGCGTGAGTCTCAAAGAGAGAGAGAGACTGTACATAGGGTGAGAGGGGTAATGGTCAGGAGGTCGTACTGGAAGCTCGAAGGGTGCCAAACCCAAGGATCATGGAAGAATCAACAGCCTCCACTTAAAAGGGGGAAAATAGTAATCTATTCTCATGAAGAGCCAGATCTCATAAAGCAAACAATGAAAAGAACATTCAGTGAAGAGGATGTAGAAAATGTGAAAGTAGAAGAGTTTGTTAACCACTCAACTGATGTTCAATCTAGAGGGTACCATGCAAAGATTTGGAGGGAGAGTAAGGGGCAGGGAACAAAAAGTCCTATTCCTGTGCAACATGAGGTTGAGATAGAAAGAAAAGAGAATTAAGCAGAGGCGTTCATATAATGGATATACTTCAGATAATGTGAATGTGAGAGGGGGCACATTTTTCTGGCTGCCAAAGATTTACAAGAATTCATCTCATTGTTCTTCTGGTGGAAGAAGCAATAGAAAATAGAGAGATGCTGTCTGAGTTAATTGCATTCACTGCTAGATGGTCCATAAAACAGGATACCTGAGAAGCCAGAGCGCACAAGATACTCTTTGAAAGAATTTAACATCCAATAGTTTTTATTAAAACATTGAGAGCCTGGCCAATGGCCGAGTGGTCAAAGTTCCGCATGCTCTGCTGCAGCAGGCTGGGTTTGCAGGTTCAGATCCAGGTACGGACCTACTCCATTCACCAGCCACACTGTGGAGGTGTCCTACATACAAAAAAATAGAGGAAAATTAGTACATATGTTAGCTCAGGGCTAATCTTCCTCAAGCCAAAAAAGAGGAGGATTGGCAGTGGATGTTAGCTCAGGGTGAATCTTCCTCAGCAAAAAAAATAAAGATAAAATGAAAAACATTGCAGTAGTCAACATGGAAAAAATATGGGTGTTGTTGGAATGCCTTACATTTGTTTTATATATTACTATTGTTTTTATGAATTACATTAAGAAAGGAATTCCATAATCTTTGTAACACCAAAGCCTTATTATAGGGCTTAGTTCCACCCTTATACATCCAAAGGCATTCTGTGGTGAGTGGAACACCCCAGCCTAGCTTTAAGGAGACAAAGGCAGTCTCGATTGACTGCCCAGGCTCTGGAGAGAGGCTTATAGTCTGAGGACCCTGGTGGAACCATGTGGTTCCATGTGGCTCAGGAAATGCTCTCATTTAGAAAGTTAAAGAAAACTCAGAAGACAGGGTTCAAATCTTCAAGACCTCATAGCCAAGTTCACACAATGGTAGGTGGGTTACGATTCAAAACTATGAAAAAGGGAACTTGAGAAGTGGCCCAATTCCATCTCAGACTCTGTCTATACCATACCCATAGATCCAGTTAATTAAGTCCAAACACTTGACATGTTCATCATCTTCGACTGATTGCACTGTCTTTCTCTCCGCTGATCTCATGTTGTGAAAAATTCTGCCTAGTGAGATACTGCATGTCACAGGAAATATTAATTTTGGCTTTATCTTTCTTTTTATGAAAGACAGATATGACTGACACTCAGAACTTCTGAAATGAGCAAAGTCGACACATTGAGTTGATATGATTTCAGCGATAGCTAACAAACTTTCTATTTTCAGTTAGCCATGCAGCCTGCAAAGGAGAAAATGTACACCTTCCATCCAATTGTACAATACCAGCAGCAGCTAAAGAACCTCGTGTTCACCAGCATTATTTGGGATACATGTAACAGAGATTAGCCTGAGCAAAAGAGGGAAATGATAGATCCATTCTCCTGGGCAGACCATCAGGGTGGCTTATAACAGATTGAAGGAGTCATAATTCTGGCACAAAAAGCAGAACTGAATAACATCAGACCACTCTTTCTCTCTCTCCCTCTTGCTCTCAATCTCTCTGTCTGCTTTTCTCTGAGAGTAGTTTTCTGAAGGGTTTCCTCCAAAAAGCAGATAAAATGGCCACTAGCAACCCTAGACACATCTCTTCAGTTCAAGGTCTAAATAGCCTTACTTTTCCACCTCCACTTTGGAAAATTCTTAGAAAGGACTCTGATTGGCCAGGATTCTGTCATATGCTTGTCCCTGAGACTGTGTCTTAAGAGGTTCAACCTGGGATATTTGTTCATTCCAGGGGGGAGGGTTGAAGAACCAAGATTGCCAGTCTCGCTGGGATTACATGGAGAGGAGGAGGAATTCTTAAAGGAACCAGAAAATAAGAGATGGGAAGGTCTTTAAGGTAGAAATAAACTATAGTTGCTACAGTCCACTACAGGGGGATCCCTAGGGTCATCTTTGAAAATATTGAAGAGTCTAGGGGGCCCCAAGTGGATAGTATCAGGTAAATACGACTCAATATCAACCAAAAATTTTAAGTGTTTTTTATGTGCAAGATTCGGCAATAGGTGCTGGGGACATAACTATGAACAAGATAGGATCCCTGCTCTCACAGACTGCAATCAAGGAAATAGGCAATTGTAATATAGTGGGGAAAGTGTGATAAAGTAGAAACACAGGTTACACTGGGAGTGCATAGAAGGGACTCCTAAGTAAGCCTGGGGAATCAGAGACAGCTTCTTGGGATGGGAAGGAGAAGTGGATGGAGAAAGTGGTCGGGGTATAAAACCAACAAGTGCAAAATCTTGGAGCACCAAAATTTCAAAATAAAGTGAACAGGATCAGTCCTTACTCTAATGAGTATATTACATCTGTCTCAGAAGTCACTTGTGGGCTTTCATGTCCCTTTGAGTTTGAACCTTGAAATCCAAAAAACCTGTTAAAATGTACGGCCCTGTCTGATTTGTGTGAATTCTGATCTTACTTCCATGATTCCCTCTCTCTTTTCCTACATCTGTGAGTGCTAACTCCATTTGTCCCTTGCCATTTTCCAAAATACACCAATCACATGTGTGAATTCACAAAAGAATTAGCGTTGGTGTAGACTGGGGAACTATGGAGAGGAATCCCATCATGCGCTGCCTGCCTCCTGTCATCTTGCTGATCATTCCACCTTGCATTTCAGAACTCTGAGCTCCTAAACTTTCCCACAATATTCAGCACTCCAGGAAATGTAGTCCAAGCCCTTCCCTCAGAATATTTCTCTCATAGGAACGAGGCTCTCCAGCTAATAAGTCCATCTTCCCTGGTTCCTGTAAAATTCTGGTGTATAAAAAATTCTCTATCTCATTATACCCATGACTCACTCATGCAAGATTCAATTCTCATGTCCTCTAAGGAAGATATCTGTGCTCCCTTTGGGAGTCCCACATGCTGTGCTGAAGTATCTCTCAGCATCCTGAAACAATTACCTATTTTTGAAACACTTATTATAGAAAAATCTCAAAGATATATAAAAATGATGAATTCCCATGTATCCATTGCCCAATTTCAGTCATTGTTACTTTATGGCTAATCTTGTTTCGTCATTATGCCTAACCAATTCCAGAAACCATATTTTATCCATAAACAATTTCAGTATATACCTCTAAAAGATAATGACTTTTTAAAAACATTCTGTTATTATATCTAAAAGTTAACAATTCCTTCTTTTCATCAAATATACAATGTTCATTTTCATCCACCAAACAAGTCATGAATGGTCTCTTGTTTACCATTTGTTTGAATCAGGTCCACACATTTTGATTAGGTGATAAATCTTTTATGTATCTTTTTAATCTATGGATTCCTTCATTTCCTCCTTTTTTATTGTTGCAATTTGTTACTTGAAGAAACTGAGTCATTGGTCCTTTTTAATAGTTCACAGCCTGGAATTTGCTAATTGCATCCCTATGGTGTTTAACATGTTCCCCTGTCCTCTGTATTTGCTGAAAAGTGGTAGATAGATCTAGAGGTTAATCAGATTCCTGCCTGATTGTTTCTTTTTTCAAGAGTATTTCTTAGGTCATGTGGTGTTCTTTCATCAGGAGGCACATTAACATTTAGTTATCTCTTTTTTCATGATGACAGCAGCCATTGGTGATCAAGGACTAGATCCATTAATTCACTGCTTTTTCAAAGGCAAAAAACTTTTCCACATTTCTTTAAACATGGGCTGTCCTGTGCCACTTCTAAAAGAACATAATTGAAGCCTGGTTCTCTACAGAAACCATTGCCACCTTATATTGTCCAGGTAAGAGATCATAAGTAATGATTAGGAAAGCATTGTTAATTGAGCTATTACTGAGTGCCAGGCACTGTCCTTACCACTTAGCAACATTATTCCATTTGCTCGTGGCAGCAATGCTAGCATGAGGGTACTGTTATTATCCCCATTTAACAGATGAGAAAATGGAGGCATAGGGAGGTTGGGTAGTTTTTCCAAGATTATCCAGCTAATAAGTGTCAACGTCTACTTTCAAGCCCAAGAAGTCTAACTCCAGAAGCCATACTTCTAACCACAGTGTAAAATAACACATATTTTTTAATGCCACTATTTGGCCAAATAGCAGTGATATGTCTCTTCTTAACATTTATTCTGAAATGTTACCCAAAGTCTGGAGAGTGAAAATCACTGAGCTAAGGGCTGGTATTATAAAAATGAATAAGACAAAGTCTTTACCCTTTGAGGACCTGAAACTACCCTAAGGGAGACAAGATAAATGGACAAACAATTTTAATGCAATCGCAAACGTCCTAGATAATTTGATAAAGGAGTTCAGAAGAAAAAGAAATTCCTTTCAGCTAGAAGACCAGAGAAGAATCCTAAAAGAAAGTAGTACAAACATTCAAATTCACACTGCAAATGAACCACCCTGGGGGACTACACTTTTGTTTTAACAGTATTGTTTCTGCTCTAAAATATTTTAGGGGTGAATTTAGAGGAGTGACATCAACATCATGGCAGCGTGAGCTTTCCCAGTAATCTCTCCCTTCCACCATACAACAAAAAAGACATTCATACTCCAACAGAGGACATCCAAACACCACACAAAAGCTGTCTGAGTGACCCATGCAGCCATACGATGGAGGGCAGAGAGGCTGGAGCCCCCCTTCGAGGAGGTGGAATGGGGTAAGAGAAAACTTCTCTCCCTACCCAAAAAACTGCCATCTGGGGCCACAGACAGCCTCCTAGAGGGAAGGAAAGGGGGAGGGGAGGTTCATTTGAGGGAACGTCAAAGATCCCTGAGGGCCCTCACAGCCTAGAGGGAAGCCCTCTATTGAGGTGAAAGCTATCTTGGGGGGTGACCTGATCAAACCAACATCCCAGGAGAGGAGATAGTGAGAGAAGAGTGAGAAAACCCCGAGAGCACACAGAAGAAAGCGGCCCTCTCCCTCGCCCACCCAGCACTGGCTCCAGTGCCTGGGATCTCAGCAGAATTCAAAAGGCTCAGAGTACATGGCTCTTGACCTCCATCCAGTGGCAATAGGCAGTAACTGTGACCAAATAATACCACTATGCGCAAAAACAGAGCCACACCCTCTAGCAGTATCAGAAATTGTATTAAATCTCCAGACCAGAAAGAAAATGACAAATCCCCATAAATCAGTCCTGAGGACACAGAAATATGTAATCTAAATGCCAGAGAATTCAAAATAGGTATCATCAAAAAACTCAACAAATTAAAAGAGAATGTAGAGAAACAATTCAATGAGTTCAGGAGCTACATCACAAAAGAGACTGAAACTATAAAGAAGAATCACTCCAAAATATTGGAGGTGAAAGACACAATGGAAGAGATAAAACAGAATATGGATCCCCTGAATGCTTGAGTGCACATCACAGAGGAGCGAATCAGCATAATCAAGGATAGACATGTTGAAATGATCCAGATAGAGGAGGAGAGAGAACTAAGACTAAAAAGAAATGAAGAAAGTCTCTGAGAGCTACCTGACTTAATTAGGAAATGCAACATAAGAACTATAGGTATTCCAGATAAGAGAAAGAGAAGGGAGGGGAGCAGAAAGCTTGTTCAAAGAAACAATAGCAGAGAACTTCAAAAAGTTAGGGAAGGAGATGGAAATCTATGTGGAAGAGACTATCAGGTCTCCTAAATAAGTCAATGTAAAAAGATGTACCACAAGGCATATAGTAGTGGAAGTGGCAAAAGTGAATGACAAAGAAAAAAATTCTAAGGGCAGAAAGGCAGAAGAAAATAACCTACAAAGGACCCCTATCAGGCTTTCAGCAGATTTCTCTGCAAAATCCTTACAATCTAGAAGAGACTGGAATGACATATTCAAATCTTTGAAGGACAAAAACTTTCAACCAAGAATACTTTGTCCAGTGAAAGTATTCTTCAGATATGATGGAGAAACAAAACTTTTCCAGATAAACAAAAGTCAAAGGAGTTTGTAGCTGTGAGACCCGCCCCCCCCCCACCACAAGAAATCTCAAGAAGGCTCTCATACCTGAAAAAAAAGGGAGACAGGGCTTACAAAGCATGGAGTAAGGAGATAAATAGGTAGACAAAATCAGAAAATTGTAGCTATACATCAGAACAGGTTAGCAAATACTCAAGTATAGCATTAAAGATAAAGGGAAAGAAAACACCAAAACCAAAGATAATCTTGTCATTTTAACCACAAACAACACAAGGTGGAATAAGATGTGACAAAACCAACATAGGAGGGGAAGAGGAAGGGGACTGGATTGGTTTGGTCTAAGGAAATAAGATGCCATCCAAAAATGGACTATATTATCTATGGGATTTTGAATACAAACCTCACGGTAACCACTAAACAAAAAAGCAGAACAGACACAAATAATAAATAAGGAGGAAACAAAGAAACACAACATAACAAACTACAGAACTTGATTGGCAGGCCAAAATACACAGGACGAGAAATAAAGGAAATGCAGGAGAAGCAGAAAATGAGTGATAAAACTGCAGCATTAAGCCCTCATATATCGATAATCACCCTAAATGTAAATGGATTGAATTCTCCAATAAAAAGACACAGAGTGGCGAGATGGGTTAAAGAACAAGACCAAACAATATGCTGCCTCCAGGAAACACATCTCAGCTCCAAAGACAAAAAGGCTCAGAGAGAAGAGCTGGAAGAAAATACTTCAAGCTAATGGCAAACAAAAGAAAGCAAGTGTTGCAATACTTATACCAGAGAAAGCAGACTTCAAGATAAGACAGGTAAAGAGAGACAAAGAGAAGCTGTATATAATGATCAAAGGGACACTCCACCAAGAAGACATAACACTTATAAATATCTCCACACTCAACACAGGAGCACCAAAGTACCTAAAGCAACTATTAACAAACCTAAAAGGAGATATTAATAGTAACACCATAATGGTAAGGGACCTCAGCGCTCCACTAACATCAATGGATAGATCATCCAGACAGAAAGTCAACAAGGAAACAGTGGAATTAAATGAAAAGCTAAACCAATTGGACTTAATAGATATAAATAGAACACTCCATCCAAATAAAGCAGAATACACATTCTTCTCAAGTGTGCATGGAACATTCTCAAGGATAGACTGTATGTTGGGAAACGAGGCAAGCCTCAATCAGTTTAAGAAGATTGAAATAATAACAAGCATCTTTGCCAATCACAATGCTAGGAAGCTAGAAAGTAATTATAAGAAGAAAGCTGAGAAACGGACAAAGATGTGGAGACTAAACAACATCCTATTGAACAACCAATGGATCATTGAATAAATCAAAGGAGAAATCTAAAAATATCTGGAGACAAACAAAAATGAAAACATACCATACCAACTCACATGGAATGTAGCAAAAGTGGTACTAAGAGGGAAATTCATTGCAATACAGTCTCACCTTAACAAACAAGAAAAATCTCAAATAAGCAATCTCATACTACACCTAACTGAATTAGAAAAAGAAGAGCAAACAAAGCCCAAAGTCAGAAGAAGGAGAAAAATAATAAAAATCAGAGCAGAAATAAATGCAATTGAAACAATAAAGGCAGTAGAAAGGATCAATGAAACTAAGAGCTTGTTCTTTGAGAAGATAAACAAAATTGACAACCCTCTAGCCAGACTTACAAAAAAGAGAGAGAAAGCTCAGATAAATAAAATTAGAAATCAAAGAGGAGAAATTACAACAGATACCACAGAGACACAAAGAATTAGAAGAGAATACTATGAAAAGCAATATGCCAACAAAATGGACAATCCAGAAGAAATGGATAAATTCTGAGACTCTTACAACTTCCCAAAGCTGAATCAAGAAGAAATAGAGAATATGAATACACCAATCACAGGTAAAGAGATTGAAATGGTAATCAAAAATATCCCCCCAAATAAAAGCCCAGGACGAGATGACCTCCCCGGGGAATTCTACCAAACTTTCAAAGAGGATTTAATAGCTATCCTTCTCAAGCTCTTCCAAAAAATTAGAGAAGATGGAATGCTTCCGAACACATTCTTCTAGGCCAACAGCACTCTGATACCAAAGCCTCACGAGAACAACACCAAAAGAGAAAACTATGGGCCAATATCACTGATGAACATAGATGCAAAAATCCTCAACAAAATATTGGCAACCTGAATACAGCAATACACTAAAAAGATCATACGCCATGATCAAGTGGGATTTATATCAGGGACTCAGGGATGGTTCAACATCCACAAATCAATCAATGTGTTACACCACATTAACAAAATGAGGAATAAAAACCACATAATTGTCTCAATCGATGCAGAAAAAGCATTTGGCAAGATCCATCAGCCATTTATGATAAAAATGCTTAATAGAATGGGGATAGAAGGAAATTACCTCAACACAATAAACACCACAGCCAACATCATACTCAATGGGGAAAAACTGAAGGCCATCCCTCTGAGAACACGAACAAAACAAGGGTGCCCACCACCACCGCTCTTATTCAAACTAGTACTGGAGGTTTGGGCCAGAGCAATTAGGCAAGAGGAAGGAATAAAAGGAATCCAAACAGGAAATGAAGAAGTGAAACTCTTGCTGTTTGCAGACGACGTGATCTTATATATAGAAAACCCTAAAGAATCCATTGGAAAACTATTAGAAATAATCAACAACTACAGTAAAGTTGCAGGGTATAAAATCAACTTACAAAAGTCAGTTGCATTCCTATACTGTAATAATGAACTTACAGAAATAGAAATCAAGAATACAATTCCACTTACAATTGCAACAAAAAGAATAAAATATCTAGGAATAAATTTAACCAAGGAAATGATACAACGAAAACTATATGGCATTATTGAAAAAAATAGATGATGACATAAAGAAATGGAAAAAGATATCATGCACATGGATTGGAAGAATAAACATAGTTAAAATGTCCATACTACTGAAAGCAATTCAGAGATTCAATGCAATCCCAATCAGAATCCCAATGACATTCTTCACGGAAATAGAACAAAGAATCCTAAAATTCATATGGGGCAACCACAGACTAAAAGATTGCTAAAGCAATCCTGAGAAAAAAGAACAAAGTGGGAGGCATCACAATCCCTGACTTCAAAACATACTACAAAGCTACAGTAATCAAAACAGCATGGTACTGGTACAAAAACAGACACACTGATCATTGGAACAGAATTGAAAGCCCAGAAATAAAACCGCACATCTATGGACAGCTAATCTTCAACAAAGGAGCTGAGAACATACAATGGAGAAAGGAAAGTCTCTCAACAAATATTGTTGGGAAAACTGCACAGCCACATGTAAAAGAATGAAAATAGACCATTCTTTTACACCATTCACAAAATGAGGAAGATTCGCCCTCAATCTAACATCTGTTGCCAATCTTCCTGTATTTTGTATGTGGGCCACTGCCACCGCACGGCCACTGACAAGTGGTGTATGTCCATGCCCAGGAACCAAACCCAGGCTGCTGAAGTGCAGCACACCGACCTTAACCACTAGGCCACCGGGGCTGGCCTTCTCAATACATATTTTTTCATGAATCAGTGAATAAATGAATCCATTGTGTTTATAATCAACTAAGACAACACCCCAGAGCAATACTGGAAAGTTATTTTTTATTTAAAATAACAGTTTGCTCCCTGGCAAGAAACTATGTAATGTTTCCCAGAATGATTAATTTGGACAGGAAATAGTTTTAATAGGTAAGATTGATCACTGTTAACAGATTCTTTTAAAGATATGATAGGAATTATATGTTGGCAGAAATTAATTTTCTAAGGGTAATGTCTTTAAATAAAGTGCAGCTTCTGGGCATAAATTGCTGGCAGTGGGCCTGTTGCTAGAGAGTGCCTTTAAATTATGGAAAAGTGTTAGGCCATGGGAGGCTAACTACCTATCCCTAGGTGGCACATCTTTAAGGAATAAGCTTGGAGTAAAAACCTGTTGTTATGTTGCCATTATTAGAAAGGGAAGATATTCCGAGGAAACTTGAATTTTAGTCCTGGTTGTCTGTTTTCTGAGGAATTCCACTGAAGGGACTTGTTCTTTCCAAAATAAAGATGAGTCAGTGCCAAGAGTCCAGGAATGACCAGGCAAAACCTGAGACTCACAGAAGTGAAGTGGCTTGTCCAAGGCAACCTTGTTAGAGTATCTGGCTCCAGGACACACTCTGAACCATTCCACTACACCTCACAGTAGAAGTCACAGCAGGCCAGAGAAGCAGCACAGAGAAGATGAATGCCTTAATTCTTCCTTTGGAAAAAAACCGTCAAACAGTCATGCCCGTTTTAAGAGACACTGGATGGAAGTGATTAAGTGTACAGCTCTGGGGTCAGGTTGCAGGGTTCACTCCCTACACTGCCACTGGTGATCTTGGGCAAGTTATTCACAGCTTTTGTGTTTGGGGGTTTTGGGTGGGGATTAAATGAGTTAAAACATGCAGAACACTTAGAATAGCACCTGGCACTCAAGTACTCAATCAACATTGGTAACATTACTTTTCAATCAAAACCCTCTTCAAGCTGAGCATTATGAATGATCTTCAGCCAGAAGATAATCATCCAGCTCTAACACCTTTTCATGTTAGGTCAGAAGGGTCATAGCTTTGAGGTCACAGGAAAGGCAAAATAGTGAAAGGAAGACAAATAGATCCCTTGCTGGTACTCTGACTAACTCATTCTGAGATTACAGAATGTACATGAACCATCGACACTATCCTAACGAACATGATGAAGGAAATCCTTCCTTCTAAACACTGTTTCCTTTCTGCTCCTTTAGGGACGGTTTTATTCCAGGAACCACTCAGCTGACCCGGAAAGACATCCTCTACAGACTACAATCTTCAAAAGCAAAGTGCATTATTACCAATGAAGTTTTAGCCCCAGCAGTAGATGCTGTTGCATCTAAATGTGAAAATCTGCACTCCAAGCTAATTGTGTCTCAGAACCCCAGAGAGGGGTGGGGGAACCTCAAGGAGATGATCAAGTGAGTAGTCATAACTGTTGCAGAACAGCTTCCCCAAAAGAAAGGCAAATTGAAAAGTTACTCAACCCACAAGTGATCAGGAAAATGAAAATTAAAACAATAGACAAAGGGAATTGGTGATTATTTCTGCACTAATAGTGCAAAGCTCTGAGGCAGGAAGCAGCTTGGAGTGCTTTCGTATGTTGGGATTTCTAGGAAGCACACCCTGAGACAGAGATTACTTGTGTAAGAAGTTTATTAAGGATTCCTTTTGGGATCAACACCTGTGAAGGAAGGGGAACGATGTGGAATTGGGCAGAGGAAGAAATTTATCAGCCGTGAACTCCCCAAAAAGCCCTCAGCCAACCCATTGGGACCTCTGGACTTTGGATAGGCCCTGAAAGTTATTCCAAGATAAAGAGATCCTGCCCTTTACATGCCCACACTAATCAGTAATTAGTGCAGGCTGTCCGTTGAAGGTGGCGTAACCTTGAGCAAGGCAGCTCTCTTCAGCCAACGCCATCTTTAAAGAGGGCTCCGTGTGGTTTTTATGCCTCATTTTGTTAATGTGGTGTATCACACTGAATGATTTGCGAATGTCGACCCATCCCTGTGTCTCTGGTATAAATCCCACTTGATCATGGTGTATGATCTGTTTAATGTATTGCTGTTTTCTGTTTGCCAATATTTTGTTATTGACTTTTGTGTCTATGTTCATCAGTGGTATTGTCCTGTAATTTTCCCTCTTTGTGTTGTCCTTGTGTGGGTTTGGGATCAGAGTGATGTTGGCTTCATAGAATGTGTTAGGAAGTGTTCCATCTTCCTCAATTTTTTTTGAGTAGTTGGAGAAGGATAGGTATTAAATCTGCTTTGAAGGTTTGGTAGAATTCTCCAAGAAGCCCTCTGGTCCTGGATTTTATTTTTGGGGAGGTGTTTGATTACTGTTTCAACCTCTTTACTTGTGCTTGGTCTATTTAGATTCTCTATTTCTTCTTTATTCAATTTTGAGAGGTTATATGAATCTAAGAATGTATGTGTTTCCTCTAGATTGTCCAATTTGTTGCCATATAGCTTTTCATACTATTCTCTTATAATCTATGAAAATCCTTTTTATTTCTGTGTTATCTATTGTGATTTCTCTTCTTTCAGTTCTGATTTTACTCATTCGAGCCTTCTCTCTTTTTTTCTTAGTGAGTCTGGCTAAGGGTTTGTCAATTTTGTTTATCTTTTCAAAGAAACAGCTCTTCCTTTCGTGGATCCTTTCTACTGTCTTTTTTTTGGTCACAATTTCATTTATTTCTGCTATAATTTTTATTATTTCCCTCCTTCTGCTGACTTTGGGCTTTGTTCTTTTTCTAATTCTATTAGGTGTAGTTTAAGATCACTTATTTGAGATTATTCAAATTTGTTAAGATGGGCTTGGATTGCTTTGAATTTCCCTCTTAGGACCGCTTTTGCTGCACCCTGTATGAGTTCGCATGGTGTATTTTCATTTTCACTTGTCTCGAGATATTTTTTATTTCTCTTTTAATTTCGCCAATGATGCATTGGTTGTTCAGTAGTGTGTAGTTTAGCTTCCACATATTTGTCCCTTTCTCAGCTTTTTTCTTGTAGTTGATTTCTAGTTTCATAGCATTATGGTTAGAAAAGATGCTTGATATGATTTCCTTTATTGAGGCAGTCCTTATTTCCCAACATATCTTCTATTCTTGAGGATGGTCCATATGCATTTGAGATGAATGTGAATTCTGCTGTTTTTGGATGAAGTGTTCTATATATGTGTATAAAATCCATCTGGTCTAGTTTTTCATTTAAATCTACTGTTTCATTGTTGATTTTCTCTCTGGATGATCTATCCATTGATGTAAATGGGGTGTTGAGGTCCCCTATTATTATTGTATTGTAATTAATATCTCCTTTTAGGCTTGTTAATACTTGCATTGTGTAATTTGCTGCTCCTGTGTTGGGTGCGTATGTATTTATAAGTGCTATGTCTCCTTGGTGGAGTGTCCCTTTGATCATTATATACTGCTCCTCTTTGTCTCTCTTTACCTGTTTTATCTTGAAGTCTACTTTGTCTGATATAAATATGGCAACACCTGCTTTCTTTTCTTTGCCATTATCTTGGTGTATCATCTTCCATCCCTTCACTCTGAGCCTGTGTTTGTCTTTGGAGCTGAGATGGATTTCCTGGAGGCAGCATATTATTGGGTGTTGTTTTTAAATCTATCCCACCACTCTGTGGCTTTTGACGGGTGAATTCAATCCATTTACATTTAGAGTGATTATTGATATATGAGAGCTTAATGCTGCCATTTTATCACTTGTTTTTTCCATTCTTCTGCATTTCCTTTGTTTCTTGTGCCATGTATTTTCGACTATCAATTAAGTTAGGTAGATTTCTATGATGGTTTTCTTAGTTTTCTCCTTATTTATCATTTATGTGTCTGTTCTAATTATTTCTTTGGTAGTAACCATGAGATTTGTATAAAAAAACTCATAGATGAGATAGTCCATTTAATGATAGCCTCTTATTTCCTTAGATGAAGCCATTTCCATTCCTTACCTCTTCCTCTTCTAAGTTATTATTGTCACATCTAGTTCCATCTTGTGTTTTGAGTTTGTGGTTAAAATGGAAATTACATTTATTTTTGGTGTTTTCCTTCCCTTTATCTTTAATATTATAATTGTTTGTTAACCTGCTCTGATAGAGAGCTGCAATTTTCTGATTTTGTCTCTCCTTGCTCAAGGTTTTGTAACCCCCCTTAATTTTTTTCTAGGTATGAGGAGCATCTTGATCATTTCTTGTAGGAGGGTTCTTGGGGTGATGAACTCCCTTAGCTTTTGTTTATCTTGGAAAGTTTTTATTTCTCTATCATATCTGAAGGATATTTTTGCTGGATAGGGTATTCTTGGATGAAAGTTTTTGTCTGTTAGACTTTTGACTATATCATTCCACTTCTCCTAGCCTGTAAGGTTTCTTCTGAGAAATCTGTCAAAAGCCTGATAAGGGTTCCTTTGTAAGTTATTTTCTTCTGCCTTGCTGCCCTTCGTATTTTTTCTTTGTCATTTACTGTTGCCATCTTTACTGCTATATGCCTTGGAGAAGTTCTTTTTACCTTGATACCATTAGGAAATCTATTGGCTTCTTTCACTTGTATTTCTAGCTCCTTCCCCATGTTTGGGAAGTTCTCAGCTATTATTTCTTTGGTCAAGGTTTCTGCTCCATTTCTCCTTCGCTTCTCCCTCTTGAATATCTATAATCGCTATTTTGCATTTTCTAATTGAGTCGGATATTTCTCGGAGAATTTCTTCATTTCTTTTTCATCTTAGTTCTCTCGCCTCCTGCATTTGAAGCATTTCTATATTTCTGTCCTCAAGACTGCTGATTTGCTCGTGCATAATATCAGCTCTATTGTTTAGGGAGTGCAGATTTTTCTTTCTCTCACTCATTGTGTTTTTCATCTCCAACCTTTCTGATGTTTCTTTATATTTTCAATGCCTTTTTTTGAAGGAGTTCCTGATTTCATTGAACTGTCTGTATTTTCTTGTAGCTCGTTGAGGTTTTTTATGATAGCAATTTTGAATTCTCTGTCATTTAGATTATAAATATCTATGCCTTCAGGATTGGTTACTGGGTACTTGTAATTTTCCTTCTGGTCTGGAGATTTAATATATTTTTTCATACTGCTTGATGGTGTGGATGTGTGCCTCTGCATAGTGATAGTATCTGGTCTCAGCTTCCCCCTGCCAGCACTGGGTGGGTGTCAAGAGCTTTATATTCTGAACCTACTGTGATCTGTGGCTCGCTTGCTCCAGCCACTGGCTGCTTTTCTATCTGTGTGGCCTCTGGCCAACTGGTTGAGCTGGAGCTCTGGGAGCGGGGAGCAATGCTTTCCTTCACCTGTGTGATCCTGAGGGTGTTCTTTCTCTGCCCTTCCTATCTGCTCTCCTTGGGTCCTAGCTTGATGAAGACATTCTCACAATGGCTTAATCACCTCTGTGTAATGCTTTCCCATGGGCTGTGAGGGAACTTGGAGAGTGAAGGTGTTCCCGCAGAGGGCCACCCCTCCCCTCTCTCCTCTCAGAGCCATGTGCAGTCTCATGGTTGCTACCATTTTGGAGGGAGAGGACATTCACCTTACCTCCTTCCCCTTCCTCCAAGGGATCCAGCACCTCCACCTTCAGACATGTGGCTGCTTTCGTCTGTGAGACATCTTTTGTGTTGTGGGAATGTCCTCTGTTGGTATGTAAATATCCTTTTTTTTGTATATCAGACAGGAGAATCTCAGGGGACAGCTCGCTCCGCCATGACGCTGACGTCACTCAAAACTTTGAAGTTTTGCCTGGTTAAATTAAATGGTGGAAAATTCATTAAATAGCCAGATCATTTTCAAATAGAATAAAACACTGAAACATTAATTGCTAAGCAAGTCTAAATTTACCCACTTTTGTCTTATTTTTACAAAGAAACTTAAAATGTTTGGGTCTATTAATAAATGTCTTGTGCTTTATTAAAAGATTGTACCGTAAAGTAACATGTTCATAGAAATTATGAAAAATATTTATAAATTTGCCAAGCCACATAATGCTAATGTAAAAAATAGTTTATACTTGCTTACTTCTTTCTTTTCACTAAACATTAAGGTTTCCAGGTGTTAAACACTCTATATATATGATTAAAGCTACTAAAAGTTAATAAGGAAAGCATCTCTATATACAAAGAAAGTAAGATGTACGTTTCCAGTAGGAAAGGTAAGAAATGGATATTTTTGTTTTGTTAAGAAAAATGAATTTGTCCTAAAGTAAAATGGGTTAGGAAAAACATAATAATAATATTTTTGTCCTAAGGAGAGGCTAAAAAGAAAGACCTCGAACATATTCTAAGTGTAAAATAAAAGAAAGTTTAGGAGCCTTGTGGAAGAGGAACTCTGAGAAGAGAGTTTTGTGCATGGTCAAGTTGGCTAGGAGTGGAATAAATTTAATGAAATGTGTTTTGATATCAATAGTAAGCTCATACAAGCTTAGAATTTTGTTTTCTTTCTCTTAAAAGGATCATTTTCTTGTATGTTTAGTCTGCTCTTGATAAAGAAATATAAAAGATTTTTCTTGGGGCTGGCCCCGTGGCCGAGTGGTTAAGTTCGCGCGCTCCGCTGCAGGCGGCCCAGTGTTTCGTTAGTTCGAATCCTGGGCGCGGACATGGCACTGCTCATCAGACCACGCTGAGGCAGCGTCCCACATGCCACAACTAGAAGAACCCACAACGAAGAATACACAACTATGTACCGGGGGGCTTTGGGGAGAAAAAGGAAAAAATAAAATCTTTAAAAAAAAAAAAAAGATTTTTCTTTATTTTTGAGTAAGTCTACCTAAAAGACAGAAAATCTATTTTCTAAAAATAATTTCCTATGTTCAAAAAACTGAAATTTTTCTGTTAAGAGAACTAAGGTTTTTAAAAACTCTTCAACTCTACATTTGCCTTTGTAGCGGAGGAAGAAATACTCTCCAACCCTCTAGGTTGTTCTGGCTTGTCTAAGAATTGAGTTAACATGAGACAGAATAACAGGAGATAATCAAACAAAGTTTGATAGCATGTATACACAGCAGAAATTCAGGAAAGCTGAGCAACTCACTAAAATGTACAAAACCACCACCTTAAATACCATCTTCAGATAAGACAAAGGAGGTTGCTGGGGGTAGTGGTCTGACTCCTTCCTACTCTGACTTAGACACAGCAGGGTGGCTTCCTGGGCTGGTTGCTGCAGATTGTGGGTCAGAGTTCTACTTTGACATGTTGTCTGGCCATTGTCCCTTTGTAAATTCAGGGTCTTACACCATTATGTGGTACTGTGTTCAGTGCTTTAAACATGCTAACTTGTTAAATACTTCCCTCTGTACAAATAGCAGCACACTCTATATACTGTTGTGCACTGTTTGTTTTCCTGAGCAGTGCATACTGAAGATCTTCCCATATCAAACATGCAGAAGTACTATATTTTCAAATAGTAGCATAATATTCCATTGGAGAGAGTTAATTTTGCTTGTTTAACCAGTCCCCCAAAATAGCCTTTTAGCTATTACATATATTGCAAAAACTATCCTTGGCTATGTATCTGTGGGATGAATTCCTGGAAACAGACTCCTGAGTAAAAGGACATGTGCATTTGTAAGTCTTGAGAGATACTGTTAAATTTTACTTTAAGTTATATCTAATTTAATTCTAACAAAAATGCTATAAGATTGGCATTTTGGCAGATGAGAGAACTGTCTCATAGACATGAAATGGCTAGTACAAGGTAGTGAGTGCAGCCTTGGAATTTGAAGCTTGATCTAGCCAATGGGCTCTGAAGCACTATGTCCTACTGCCTCCTCCCCGTGTTAGGGTAGCTACTGTTATTAACCTGCAGCCTCAGTTCAGGCACTGAGCTAAGCATGCTCTGTACAATAGCTCATTTAAATCTCACAACCTTGGGAGGTAGGTGTTACCGTATTTGGTCAATCTAAGATGCCATCAATTGTGAGTCACACCATTGCTCTATGACTCATCAAGAACACAAAGCATTGCTACTTAAACTCGGGCATGCTGTTGATCGTAAGGCACTGTCTGATTTTAACAGTGAAATGTAAAAAAATGTAAAAAAAAATCTTGGAGTCCACAAAATACAGCATTATCTCATTTTGCAAATAATAGTGAAGTATCATGAGGTGAAATGACTTGCCTAAGGTCACACCTGCTCTTTGGCAGAATTGGGGTTTGAATGTTTATCTGTTTAATGCCAGAGCCATCTCAGTGCTCAACACTTTCCTTGCTCTTGTGCTTGGAGCACATAATTCTTTGGTATCAGAGCTTCTCCAAGTAAAGTAGTGGTACCAGGGAATTATCCATGTTTAGATGGCAGAGCAGGAAGGCTTGGAAATGTGCAGGGCTGTTATCCTGGCTGTAATGAGCTGAAATGCCACTGCCTCCTGGTCTAATCATCTCGTGTTCTAGAACTCTGTTCTGATGATCACATTTTCCTACTTAAAAAAAAAAAATCCTTCAGTGGCTTCCCACTGCTGTCATGATAAGGGCCATATTATTTTCTGATATTCAAGGCCATCTGGCCTCACTCTCACCTCTCATTTCTTTCCTTTCCACACTTTATACTTAAGCCAAACTGGCTCTGTGCTCCATACATCCTCTTGCTTTTTCTCTTCCAGCCTTTGGGTTGTCTATGCTGTTTTCTTTGCTCTGAGTGCTCTTTCCACTCTTACCTCCACTAATCAAATCCCATACACAGAGTTCATCTCCAGTCCTTCATATGCTCTTCTCTTTTGGAAATGATTGCTCTGTCCTCTGAGTCTCCCAATGCTTTCTCTTAAAGAACCACAAACTTTCTGCCATGAATTACAGTTATTCACATGGTTGTCATGGCCCTCTGACTAGCCTGTGGAATTCTTGAGGGTAAAGTTCACACCTGACTCATCTTTGAACCCCTCTTTTCTCCTGATCTAGTGAGCAACACAGAGTAGAGATCAGGTATCACACTTACTGTATGGAGCCCTACAATGAACACAGAATTGAAAATGACATTAGATAGAGACCGTCAAACCTGCTCTCAATTCCTGCACTCTTTGACTACTGACCTCTTTAAGGCAAGTTGATTCTGCAGGGTCCTAAATCTGTGTTTGGATTTCCTTGATTGCTTATATCTTCTGATATTTACATTAGAACACAAGATCTGTTAAACACCTGCCTGTAGGCCTCTGACTCAATATCAGCCCTCCAGGTGCCTCCAGTCCCCTCTTATCTCAGTATCCCCATCATAATGATGTGGGTAGTTTTGTATATTGTTTTTAAAGATTGGCAGCTGAGCTAACTAGTGTTGCCAATCTTCCTTTTTTTTTTCCTTCTTTTTTTTCCTCCCCAAATCCCCCCAGTACATAGTTGTATATTTTAGTTGTGGGTCCTTCTAGTTGTGGCATGTGGGACACCGCCTCAACATGGCCTAATGAGTGGTGCCATGTCCATGCCCAGGATCTGAACCCTGGGCCGCCGAAGTGGAGCTTGTGAATTTCACCACTTTGCCACGGGGCCGGCCTTGATGTGGATAGTTTAGGTGTTGTGTTGTCAGGGAGGTGGAATTGGAGACTAGGGACTTGGCACAGATTTCAATCCTATATCTTATAGAATCACTGTGAAAGCTCCTTTCTTTGTAGATCTGGGTAACTTGGGGACATTTCCTGACTGTTGGGGTATGACCTTAAGACCAATAGAATCTCCTTAAATTCCGTCAGTATCTGCCTTGGTTGGCATTATGTTGCCTTCCGGGTACCAGGGCTTTAGGAGGTCCTGGATGTTATCCAGCAGGCACTTTTATGAATTCATGGATTGAATAAATGAATAATTTCAATTTCTCCAATTCTAATTCTCTACCTGATATGCAATGGACATTATAAAGTCAAAGAGTTGGTGGTAAGATTGAGCAACACATATATGTGTATCTATTTCACATAAGGGATCCTTGGGTAGAGTTTGTTAAGTGAACGTGAGCATAGAGTCATAACACACAACCAATTATCTTAGAGAGACTTGACTATAAGGTTGGGAAACTAAACTCCAAACAAATCAAAACAAAACAAATGCAAGCCAGTTACTTCAATTTGTTTTCAACTAAGAAATTGAAATCAGTTTTGGTGCTGGAGGAGAAATGGACTACATTGGATTTGCCAAGAGATGGTATAGTATCCACGAGATATTTTGAAGATTTTTTTTTTAAGAATAGGATGATGACATGGGATTTTCATCTTAGATGCTGACTCTAGACCCAAACCCCTTATAAGTTGTGACTCTGTCTTTGTGTTTATCACTACATATTGGGCAACACATTTGTTCACCATGGTTCTGTTAGCTTGGAAGAACAGGAAACAAACAACAGTGTGTCTTTTGCATAATTGTCCTGTACCCCTCCCCAGCTACAGGGACCCACTGCTCTTCCTCTCGCCCAGACTCTTAGATTTCTGGCTCTACAGTAATTTTCTTTTGACCCTTTGGTGTAACACTCCCACTCTGCTCTCAGTCCTGTTCCTTCTCTCAATATTGACATTTTCTGCAGTATTTGGTAAGAAACTCCTTCCTTAGCTTTATTCCTGTAGGGGAGCAGAACTTGCCACTGCAAAATGTGTCTCTTTGGCTTGATTATTTTTAGGAATAAAAGACTCAGGAAGAAATTTTCACCTCCCCCTAACTGCCTAAAAGAATTTAAGCCAGAACGCCTGCTTCGGGAAGGAGCTATCACCATAGATAACTATAGTATAATATGAACTCGGAGTGGTAGACAGGGAAGAACCTAGCAAGACCCATTTGATCAAAGTCCTCTCCATGTCTCATTGTCTCTGCAAGGCACGACAAACATTTGTTTATCAAACATTTTCTTTTACATCTCCATGTGAATTGCTTTCCTCCCCTTTGAAGTCCCAAACCACTACCCCCAACATCCTCTGTTGTCTTTAGCTGAAAATGATATTTAAGGTGGTGGCTTAGGCCAAGTTGGTGAGTTACTCAGTATTCCTGGGTTTCTCCCATGTATGCATGTTATTGAATCTGTTTGACTTTTCTCCTGCTATTCTGTCTCATGTTAATTTAATTTAGACCAGCCAGAAGAACCTACAAGGATAGAGGAAAAGTTCTTCCTCTCCTACAGTCCCATGAAATTCTCCCTTCATTCCCCAAGCCTGTACAGGCTGTGGGAGGACTGTACCTTGAAGCCTGACTACATCCCATTGCCAAAACATGCTGGGAATACTCCACCAGTGTGGGAGCTCCTTTTGTCCTGTTGGTGAAACAGATGGCCATTGGATCCTGACTCTTCATCCCCACACAGATTTGCTTTGGGGGTACAAGTCTGTAAGTCACAAAAGAGGCAACAGTCAGTTCTAAATGCAGGTTCTCTGACTTAAAGCCTAGGACCTTGGTTTGGTCATCTGTACTTTTTGAAAATAACAGCCCATATCTTGTCATATTGGGGCATGAGTTTTAGAGGGAGAGCTGCCATTTTTTCTCTTTTAAAAAATTTTGTATTGATTTTTATTGCATAAGAAATATATGTGGTGTTTACACTCCAGCCATAATTTTCTTGGTAAAAGATCCTCTATTCAACCAGTTGCTCAAGCTAAAAATCTGTAGTACTCAGTAATCTTTACTCTCTCTCTTTCGGTATCTACTTGCATACTTACCTACCTACCTACCTATGCCACATCCTATCCATTGACAAGCCCTGCCAACTCTACCTCTAAAACTTATCATTAATCTGTCTATTCTCTTCATTATCTCTACTCAGGGACTGGACTACGGTGAAGTGAGTGAAACATTTGCCTCAAGCATGGTTTTTAAGGGGATGCCAACAAATTCAATAGTCAAGATGAATAATATTTTAATGTCATATTTTTTAAAAAATTAAAAATTAATGCAAAAATCTATGATAAACAAAATATTAAAGTTTTACTTAAATACAGTATGCAGCCTAGCACTTGCATGACTCCCCTCACTTGGTCAGCCTAATCCTGCCCCTGGCTCCAGTAAAACTTTGTTATAAAAACAGGCAGTTGGTTTGAGGATGATAGTTTGCCAATTTGATTATTTTTAATTTCGAGAAATTTTAAAAATATTTTCTTTTAGAAGATTTATAAAGTTAAAATTATCTTATGGTTAATCGTAAGTTACAAATATGTAACATAAATATATAAAATAAATATTTAAAATTATATGTAGGTATATGCATTTTAAAACAATTATTTTATTATTTACATGTGTTTTTAAAAATTTATTTTAAAATTAAAATGTTATTTTTCATGATCACTGAATATTTTGGTGTCCATTTAAATTCTGTGCCTGAGGTGCGTCCTGTCTCCTCTGCTGCTGCCTTGGTCCACACCAAAGCCTCTCACCCGGACAACAAGCCCTCTGCCAGGTCTCTTTCTTGTGTTCAATTGTTCATAGAGCAGCCAGAGAGTACTTTTTAAAAATGTAAGTCAGATCAAGTCCTTCCCTCTCCTGCAGGACCTGCAAGGCCTCCGCAGTCCACCGTCTCTTGCTCATCAACCTCTTTACCTCCTACTCTCTTCCTCACTCATTGCACTTCAGGCACCCTGGCATTCTCTCTGCTCCTCAAACAGATCCAGCTCATTCCCACTTCAGGTGCTTTACCTTAGTGTTCCCTCTGCCAGGGACATAACCACAGATATTCAGAAGGATGGCTCCTTGGTGTTCAAATAGCAGCTTAAATGTCCTCTCTTCGGAAGCCACCAACTCTAAAATAATTCCCCCATTCCACATCAGGTCACTCTATCTTGTTGTTCTGTTTTGTTTCGAAGCCTCTTTTGCAATCTGTATTATCTCGATCATTTATGTGTTTTCTTGTTTGTTCGTTTTGCAGTGTAGAGTATCAGTTCCATGTTGACTTTTATATCCCCGGACACTGGAATATTGCCCTCTAGAGACCACATTAATAATTATGAAACTCGATATTTCATTAACCTGAGGATGAACATGGCATCCTCTCATTATTTTAGTAAGTATTTCCCCATTTACCAGCGAGGGTGAGTGTTCTTTGTTTTGTTTTTTTAATACGTGTACTGCTTATTTATGTTACTATCACCTATTTTTTGCCCCTCTCTGAGAATGAATACTCAGGTATGAATCAGGAGATGAGACTTTCACTCAGACTGAGACCTTGTAAGACAGATCATGAATTCTTGTGTTGGGGGATGCTCTGGTTTCAGGACTAGAAATTGCTGTCCAGCTTCCTTCTCTTTCCTCTCACACCACCCAAGTTAAAACAACACTTCTCACGTATCATCACATTTTCCAAAATCAGGTATTTGCTTCATTTAAGCATCTTGTTTTCAGTGTCCAGTCACCTCATCAACTCCTTAAAACCCAACCACCCACCATAGCTTATATCTGATACCAGGAGCTTGGTCTTCAAGGTGGGGCAGTTGGACATGACAGAGTCCACAAGTGGGACTGTAGCCTCATTGACCACAATGCTCTGGGCCTCAGACATTTGCAATCGATAGAGATTTTTCTTGGCAGTCAGTTGGGGGGGGGTGGTTTCCCACGCACAAAGGTGGTTCCTGAGAAAACCACAAAAGGCGGCTTCATTCATATCTTTTAAGTAGATAATATTTCCTCAAGCATCCTGGTAGGCATAGATGAGGTCTCCTGAATACTGTCTGTTTCTAGGATGTAACCTCTGCATTGGGTCAGCAACAAAATGGCTGGGGAAGAAGTGAGAGGGGCAGGAGACTGAGCTCACTGAGCTTTGTTGCCATTATCTGTTCCCCTCAAGTTGTCCTTAATTTACATGGGTTAGGTGTCAGATTACTACCTATTTGAAATGTAGCCTGATTTTGAAATTGTGTGACACAAGGAGGTGGTGGAAACTTCCTCTTTGTTGTTCCCTCCTTGCTTGCGAATGGCAAGTGCTGTGGATTCCAGGATTTGCATTGGACACACAAGTTCATTCTCCTTTTCTTGGGCTGTTCTGTAGACTTTCTTCCATCCATTTATCACTTATCAGGGGCCTACTCTATGTGACTGGCACGTGCTGGCACATCCTCTTATGATCCTTTGTATTTCTGTGGTGTCAATTGTAATGTCTCTTCTTTCATTTATAATTTTATTTGGGCACTCTTTTTTTTTCTTGATCTGTGTAGCTAAAATTTTGTCAATTTTGTTTATCTTTTTAAAGAACCAATTCAGTTTTGTTGATTTTTTCTATTGTCTTTATAGTCTCTGTTTTCTTACTTTCTACTCTAATCTTTATTATTTCCTTCTTTCTGCTAACTTTGGCTTAGTTTGTTCTTTTTCTACTTTGTTGAGGTGTAAAGCTGAGTTGTTAATTTGAGATCTTTCTTTCTTCTTAAATTAAGCATTCATAGCTAGAAACTTCCCTCTTAGAACTGCTTTTGCTGCATCCCATAAGTTTTGGTATGTTGTCTTTTCATTTTTGTTTCTCTCAAGATACTTTCTGACTTCTCTTTGGCCCATCAGTTGTTCACCAATGCCCATTCCTGATTAAAACTCTCAGCAAACTAGGAATAGGGGAATCATCTTCAACTTGATAAAGAACACATAGAAAAAACCTACAGCAAACATCATACTTAATGGTAGCTCTAGGAGGGACACTCCATATGGTCCCAGGTGTCTGCCCTGCCTGGCATACTCATGCCCTACTGGAGGGTGAGGCCAGGGGCAGGGTGAGTGTGGGGTCTGGCGAAGGGGGAAGGAGGGGTGGCCAGCCCAGCTTGGTGACTACACTTGCTGCCAGACCATCCCTCACCTGACACCCTCCAGTAGATCCACTGCCTCGGTGCTCACCAATAATGCTGCTGCTGCTACTGCTGCTACTGCTGCAGCTTCCAGGTCCCAGACTGGATCAGTGCAGGTGAGTGAGAGCCCTGCCCTCTGGCAATGCAGTAATCCTGCAGGATTCCTCCAGCTCTTTCAAGGGGGGTGCCCAGTCCTTCATTCCTTCCCAGGGACCCAGGAGCTCTGTTCCACATCCCTCCCTAGGGTGCCCCACTCACTCACTCTTCCCAGGTCCCAGGAATCTTCCAAGCCTTAACCAGGGATCCAGTGTCTTCCCCAGGCATCCCCTCCCACACACTCTATAACCCTCTCCTGCCATCCAGATCCCATCGTACCCCCCTGGCCTCGGATCCTGTGAACTGACCCTCTGGATTGCCCAGATGAGTGCTCAGATTGGGACTAGAGGTAATAAAATCTGAATATGAACATCAATGGTGCCCCTGTGTTGTGCATTCATTCTATGGATGAACCTATCCTAAATGTGGTCCCTCTGTAATTGTCCCCAGCCCCATCAGAAAGAGCCTGGGTCCTGATTCTCCCTGCTGGCACCAGCTTCCTGGGTGACCCTATGCACCCAGTAGATGTCCAGGACACAGAGGTCCAGGAGGAATGCTCCGAAGAGCCCCAGGCACCAGCCTTTCCTAGGTCCCAGCCTAAGTCCCACATGGGTGAGTGAGGGACCTGCTCTCTGGGAACCCAGGAGTCCTGTAGGACTCTTCCAGACCTCTCCAGAGGTACCCAGTCCCTCATTCATACATAGGGCTTTTGCCCCTCAGCTTTCGCCCATATACGCCCACCCACTCATGTCTTCCAAGGGCCCAGGAATTCCCCCAGGAATCTTCCCAGGGGTCCAGTATCCCCCCACCCCAACATCCTTCCCCTCACACTCTACAACACCCTCCTGACGTTCAGATCCCTCCTGCCCCCCTGGCCTGGGGTCCTGTGAACTGATCCTTTACTCCATCCATCCTTGGGGCCTGAGATAGGACCACTAGGGGGAAAACCAGAGGCTGGGAGGAGAAGGGGCAGAAGGGGCTGAGCCTGGGGGTGGGAGAAACACATACTGTCTCCTTCTCACCCACCACTAGGGTCACCCTTGGAGAGATCCCCTCTGCAGCTGCCCTTTTCTGAGGTGCACAGACACACACACTCAGAGGGAAATAAGACACCACAAGCACAAAGACACACAGGCATGGAATCACCTCCATCCTCACCTGGGGACTCGGGCATAGGGCTCAGGGACAGGCTCACACAGACCCACACTGCAGACACAGGCAATGACCCCTGAGGAGAACATATGCACACACTTAGGGCCACATGACACAGCCCCACAGGGCACACCCTACACACACTGGAGACACATACAGAGAACACAGAGATACACACTTAGATAAAATCAAGAACACACAAAGGGGTAGTAGATTCACTCACACAACCAACACACACAGAGATATATAACACAGACACACATAGATGCTCCAGCAGGGACGCACACTTCCAGAGACACAGACTTGCATGACCAACATACAGTCATTCAGAGATACAGACACACACAATACATACAAAGACACACAGAAACACAGTGCCATACAGTGGAAAACTCACATCCACAATCAATACATTCACAGACACAGAAGCACACTCACAGGTCCATAATGCAGATTTACACACCCAAACACACTTGTGCATGCATGCGCAAGCACACACACACACACACTCCCAGACCTTCATCCCTTACCCAGGCTTACAAAACAAACAGCCCTGGCACTCAGTGGAGGCCACTGCAGGCAGACAGGATGAATAGACCGGGGTATGACCTGCCCCACCTAAGCTGCCATGGAAGGGGGTGTTTTCCTAGTTCCAGACTGAGTGCTGGGCATCTCCCCCCTGCCAGGGCCTTCTGGACAGCTGTGCTGGGTCCTGAGGTACCAGAGAGTGGCCAGGGTAGGGTGGTTCTGTGGACAGGGGCCCCGGGCAGGGACAGGGACCCTGACAGTGTGCACTTTGAGTGGAGGTGTTGCATGGGGCTTAGCTGATCCCGAGGTCAAGAGAGGAGAGAGGCATGTGTCCCCAGGATCCTGCAGTGTTAGGACCCTGCATGTGTCAGAGTGGGCTGCACCCTCTCTCACAATAACAATAATAAGAATAATGCCATCGTCAGGACTATTATGTGACAATATTATCATTAACACAGCAATGACTGTGTCAGTCCCCGGTGGAGAAGAAAGGGCTGTGACCATAGCCAGCTGGTTTGAGCTCATCTTCTGAGCAAGGAACCCCAAGCAAAGCTGGGTCCTAGGCAGAGCTTCTCTCTGGTCCCTTCTCCCTCTGGAGTCTCCAGACCTCAGCTTCCCTCTCTCCCCAAATCCCTTCCCGGACCAAAGTGTCCTCTGACCCTTTTCTCACCCTGGGTAAAGCCCTCTCTCTGATCACTCTGAACTTGACTCTCCATCTATGCAAGGGGGATAGAGATGGTACCAACCTCAGGACACCACAAGATGATGCCTGCACAGGGCTTAGCACCATCCCGTAACAAGAGAGGCCCTTGATTGTATCATTATTGCCTTTAACGGCTGCACACTTTTAAAGGTGCCAGTTCTGGGAGGACAGATGCCCTTGGGAGATGATGATGCTAATCTCCACAGGGGCTCAGCATGAGGCTTTTTGTTGTCCTTAGGACAGTCTTGGGATGCAGGCCTGGACACTCCCAATTTAATGAAGAAAACCCATTCAGTGTCACACAGCCAGTAAGCAACACAGCTGAATCTTAATCTCAAGTCTGCTGGCCTGGCCTCCAGGGGCCACGAAGGGCTCCCCTGCATGGGATGCTGACACTGGGTGGCTTTGGGGAGCAAGTGCTTCCTCGGCTGCAGGAAAGATCTCACCTGTTCCAGGCCCCCAACCTCTGTTCTCTTCTCCTTCTTTCCCTCCTCCCTGCTGGAGCTCTGATCAAGGTGACCCTGGCACCCTTCATGAAGTCCCCAGTCCCTTACAGGAGCCTCTCTCCCATTCACTTCTGGGCTAGTCCGACTTCCACACCTTCTGCAATAGTCTCTCCTAGACAGGACAGTCCACCTCTGAGGTTCTTGAGGCAGGCAACAGCATCTAAACAGAATTTCATATGCACTTGTTTTGTTGTCCTTGTTTTTGTTTTACTTGTTTTTGACGGTTTCTTTACATTTGTGGTAAAAGACTTTGGTTTTCTATTACAACTGATATAATATCAATTATATAACTGACAACATATCAGTTATATAACTGACAATATATCTGTTATGTAACTGATGTAACTGATATAACTGAATGTTTCCTGTTTGCTATAAATCTACATAATAATAAAAAGCAATGGGATTTAAAGCAATGATTTCAAGCTACCACGGGTCTGAACAAGTTGAGGAAATGCTGTGTGCACCTTAGGGAGCTCAGGACAGGGTGCAGAAGAGATGATCACCAATGGGGTTTGTCCTAGTCACCTGGGTCCATGGGCCCCTGCTACCTACTTGGCTTTCTCTATCCTTCACTCCTCATCCTGCCGAGCTCTCTGGGTATTGTCCCCAGGTCTCGCAGGGGAGAAGATGATGAACTTTCTCTCTTAAAATCCTCACCTCCCTGGAGATCCTGGGCGATCAGTCATGAGAGTCAGCTTGGATTTCCCACACTGAAGTTCATAATGTAAGCCCATGCTAACAGGTAGCAGGGTGACAGATAAGTGACATGTTCACCACTGTTTCAGGTGTGAAGATGTCTGTTTAATCAGGGATGATTTTGAGACCATACAATCTCATCACACAAGTGGAATTCCCAGGGCAGAGGAAGATGTATTTTATTACCATTTTATCATGATGATATCATTCAGTTCAAGTATAGACTCTTTTCCTTTGGAATTTCTTCTCAAATTTATATTTTATTTATAAAGTTACTTCTCAATTTTCAAACATACGGGAATTTCTAGTTAGCTTTCTGTCAGTGACTTCTAGCAGAATTACATCACCAGAAATGTGGTGTGTGTGATTTCATTCCTCTGAAATATATTAAAATTTGCTTTATGGCCCAAATAAGTAGGGTTAATTTAGTAAATGTATCATATCTTCCTAAATTAATGTGCCCTCAACAGTTGTTATATTGGTGTAGATATATGGATATATCTGTATGATTAAGATGGTTTGCTGTTAAGGTCTTCTGCATCTTATGAATGTTGTGTCTGCTTATTGTACGAGTTGCTGAGAGAGGGATGTGAAACCTCCTACTCTACTTGTGTATTTGATTCTTCTTTCACTTTTGTCATCCTTTGCTTTGTATGCTTTTCAGCCAATGGCCTTGGGAAACCTTGGGAGGTCAGAAAGGAAGGAGGGGTGCCCAGAAGTGGGGCACAGGGGACCTGGGTTGGGAAGGACCAGAAACCAGAAGGTCTGTGAAGGTTCCAAAGAGGACCTGTTACTGGGATGGCTCCTGGGGAGGCACCGGTTGGGGGAGGGGCATTCTAAACATGAGGTCACACGCTGTCCACTGTGATGAACCAGGGGTGAAGGCCGGTGATTGGTCAACAGGGAGTATAAAGCATCGGGGTTGCTAAGGCAGCAGTCAAACAGGAGAAGGCTCGGAGGAGGACGAAGCTCTCGTCCCCTCCAACTGCTCCTGAGAGTTCACTTCACCTGCTCCTTGTGTCCTGCTGACTTACTGACCTAGTGACCTGTCTGAACCCTCCTCCCCCCCCAGAACCTGATCTGACCAAGTACTTTCCCTGAGCCCTTCTTCTTCCCCTCCCAGGTACCCAACACCCCCTTTCCTGCCACATCCCCTACTCAATCCTATGCCCATTCCTACCCATTCCCCAACCCTTTCCTACCCGACTCTCTGACGACCTTCCTGGCAACCTCAGGACCCCTGAGAGGACCAGGACATGGAGGTACACAGGTTCATCTTCTGGATCCTCCTGCTTGGGTCTCCTGGTTATCCAAACAAGGATGTGAGTAAACCTGGGAATCAGTGGTTTCTTCTATTTGTACTTAAGTGACAACTTTATCATATGGTCTTTGATGGAAACTCAGTTTTTCCCAAAGACTGAGGACCTCAGGGCAGGTTTCTTGACCAACCCGAATGGGTTCTGGCCACAGCAGTCCACATCAAGTTCTGGGTTCTGTCAGCACTGCTTGGACCAAACAGAGCAGGGATGACAAGATGGAAACCTGAAAATAGTAACTTTATATAATCAAGAAGGAAGGATTTGTGAATATAATGAAAGCCATTGAGTTGTATGTCTTCAATGGGAGAATTGTCTGATATGTGAATTATATCTCAAAGAAGTCATTTTTAAAAACATAAGGAACTTTTATTTAAGAGGAGTCCTGGGAGTTAGATGGACTCCTGGAAGCCTTGTCAGATCCTTCTTCAAACTATGCAAGTGTAGGGTCCATCTCATGTGTAGCTTGTTTTCCTTTAAGTACATGATTCACATATGTGAAGGCTGGCAGCCTTGGGAACAGTGGTATCTAAGCATTGGTGTTGGTACTAGTCCATTAAACAGTGGAATGTCATTTGTGCTCTGTGCTTTCTGGCTTGTTGGCTTTTATCAACTTCTGAATCATCCCTTCCTTTCTGCTCTTGGAAAGTGTACCCAGGGACTCTATGTCCAACCAGGTTGATGGGGACCCTCAGAAGTCCCTCAGAAAATAAGTGGCTGCATCCTGCTGGTATGTTTATAATGGGGAAATCATTAGGAGTGACCTGACCAGGACGTGAATGAGTTGTTGTGTTTTCTTTAGTAAAGTGTTCATGTCCAAGAGTGTTGATTTATGCAAAGCAAGAAGGATCCTTAATGTCCTTAGGATTGTCTAAATATAAAGAAATTCCAGATTCCCACTGTGAAGATTTTCATTCTCTTGTTGAAAGACACCTCTACCCCCAGGAGAGAGAAGGACTGAGAATACCCCATAGAGATAAGTAGATTTGTTTTGATTGGCATGCACCAGATTCTTAGGGATCTGGAAAGGTCCAGTGGTCAGGAACAACACTTGCATCGAAGCAGAATCATCCAAATGAATACCTCCAATCAAAGAAGAATCTATTCTGTTTCCTTTGAGTCTACAGAGGAGGAAATTCCTTGATAGTCTACACTGGAATTTTTCCCCCTCTACTTAGGCTGCATTCTAGTTGATGAGTTAAGCTCTCTTTCCCTACCTCATCTTTGAGCACCCAGATAGACTCACCTGTCTTGCATTTCCCACATCCACCCTTACTCACAGCCATTGACTGTCAGAGCCTCAGCTTTTTGGTTCCATTGGATCTCATCTAGGTAGGAGGCAACTACTGATATCAGACAGTTGCCAGATATAACGAGAGTGCCCACGACTGGGGGTGTTTAACCGGGTAGTGACCAGATGGTCTTTGTCTTTTTTGTGCGTTTGATCCATGTGTTTATCCATTGTGCTGAGAGCTACTGCTGTCTCTCTGACAGTGGTGATTCAAAGACAGTGTCTGTTTCCCATGAGCACACATTTTACTGACCCCAGCAGTGAGGGCTGAAGATGAAAATCTTAGATTTCAGAGGCTACTTTCTAGAGAAGTTTTACTTGCACTAAACTGAAGTTCGGTGGTGGATTAGTATGAATTGCATTGTGAGTTAATTTTCTTCTAAAATACTTATAAATGGGATTTTTAGTATAACGATATGCTTGCCTTTTGTTTTGGTGAACATAATTTCTAGAAATTTTTTATCTTTTTACACACTAATTTTCATGGTTGCTATGTATTGATTTAGGTTCAAATCTATGAAATATGAATGTGAATACTTTTTATTGGCTATTTGGAATTGTGTTTTTAACTAACCTCAATTCTCATATTTGTAACCATAATACAAGATCACTCTATTAGGCAAATCTCTGTGTACTTCAGAAATCTGACGTTGTGTGCTCTGGTTTAGAATCAAAGTGAACGTTGAAAGAAAACCTCAATGACTTTAGAAACTTGGGCTAAACAGTAATCTGGAATTCATTTTGTTGGAATAATAATCCCAGTATTATTATAATACCAGCTGCCCATCTCTCTGTTATGTGCATGTCTAATAAACATCTCTCTCTCTCTATTATTCTCATTTGTATCTTTAACACACGCTTTTTTTTAAAGATTTTATTTTTTCCTTTTTTCTCCCTAAAGCCCCCTGGTACATAGTTGCATATTCTTCGTTGTGGGTCCTTCTAGTTGTGGCATTTGGGACGCTGCCTCAGCATGGTTTGATGAGCAGTGCCATGTCCGTGCCCAGGATTCCAACCAACGAAACACTGGGCCGCCTGCAGTGGAGCACGCGAACTTAACCACTCGGCCATGGGGCCAGCCCCATTTAACACACATTTTTGATTGTTATTTTTTCACTCTTTTCTGTACATTTGTTTTCCATATATATTCCATACATATGTATTCCATACATATATTTTGGGGGATGTCCCAAAGAATTTAATCCAGGTACTTCATGAATATATAATAGAAGAACTAGACTTTCCATCCACTCTAAGTTTGTATTTACTTATTTTTCAGTTGTAAGTTGGCTCATAAATGCTAAGTTCTGTTTATTTTTAAAAAAATTTGCAATGCTCTTTTCAGCAAAATAAAACTCTTTAACAGTTTGTGTGTCACATACAGCTTACGGGTGGTATAATTTATGTATAATAACGGCACCTTTTTAATGAATAAAATGATAATGAACCCATCACCATATTAAGATAGTAAATACACTCATCACCCCTTAAAGTTTCCTCCTGTTTGATTTTAATCCATCTGTCCTCCCGCTCCTCCACGAGGAGATATTTGAGGGGTATGCTTACCTCCTGGAGCCTGATTTAGGGTTTCTAAAGATGACTCTTTGTGACAGAAATATTGTAAAGGTCTTTGAGGATCCTCATTATCTCCAATATTATTTCAGCTAATGCGTATTCTGCCAGGCCTCTTACAGCTTGGGCCTGGCGATTTTGCACTGCTATGGAAGCTAACAGTTATCAGCAGTGGCTTCCGTATGTCTGCTTACGCTGCGTGCCTGTGGACATCGGTCCTTGCTGTGAGTATACTAAATTCCTTATGGCTACAGTTTTAATCGTAAATAAGTAGGAATTTTGATAGTCATTGGACCTTTTATTTGCATTTGGTACAACAAATTTCCCTCTAAATACTGCTTTCATGGCATCTCACAAATTTTAATAAGTCCTATTTTCATTATCATTTAGATTGAATTATTTAAAAATTTATGTTGAGACATCTTCTTTGACCCATGTGTTCTTTAGAAGTGTGTTGTTTAGTGTCTAATTCTTTTGTAGTTTTTCAGCTATCTTTCTGTTATTGATTTCTTATTTAAATCCATGGTTGTCCGGAAACATAGTTTCTATGATTTCTATTACTTTAA